ATTGTTTATCCAGCCTATCTTATCTAGATAGACCTGCAGAGATAATAATATGCACATAAAATTGCGGATGGCCTTGGACAACACCAAACAAAGTGGTGCATAAAAACAGGGCGAAGACGGCAGTAACAACAACAAACTAACAAACAAAAGAGCCACTGACATACACAATCTAAAAGAAGGAAAAAAGAAAGAAGAGCCTGTTAATAGTTCAAGGTCTGTTTGTTATTTATGTTTTCTAAAGCAACCCACTTGCGGTACTTTTTTGTTATTTCGGCTGTAGGTCCCCAAGACGTAATATGCTGGGGGAAAAAGGTCTTTTGGGAAATAAGGATCACAGGTGCTGAGACTGAGCATCTTTGCTTAATGCGAACAGACATTCCAGCCAGAGCTACTAAGTGGAGAGGGGTCCCCAGATTTCAAAAGTAACTTCAGTCTTAAGATGCTCTTGGTGATCAGACATCACCTCTGTATCCCTCCTCCCATGCACATGGAGCTTGCTCCCGAGTCTCCTTGGCATTGGAAACAAAAAGCTCCCCTAATATTCCACTCATGCCACCTTCCCCCAGCCAGTGTGGGCATTGAGAGACAGGGCGAGGCTCTTTCACATCTTTACCTCATAAAAGTTGATGACGCTGGTCTGGCTGGGGGTAATGAGAGTGACCAAGCCAGTCCTGTCCTTGCACTTGATCTCCGCATTCATAGTGTAGCCTTCAGCCTTGACGTTCAAGGTCAGAGGCTGGGCTTTCCTTTTCACGTTGCAGATCAAGTTAAAGTTCACTTCGCCCTCCTGCTTAGGTGTGAAGAAAATATCAATAGACAACCTGGTTAGGGAAAAAGACAGAAGGTTAACTGAGCCAAACTGCTCAAAGCTGCTCAGGCATACAGGCCCAAGGGATCAGCAGAGGCCCTCTGAGGAAGAAGCATTATCACCCCACATTATGATAGATGCCTGAGATTTACCGGGCAAGGCTACACACTGCTCCAGGCATTCACAACTACAGTAAGTAGCAAGGAAGAGAATACCAACCCAAGAGAAAATATTAGGGACAGGGGTTTAGCATTCTCAGTGCTAAGCGCAATTCATCAGGAAAAGGAACGAGAGGGCCAAGGAGGGCTGAGGTGGGAACTACTCCTGTCTGAATTTGAGAGTTAGAAGAGCATTTAGAACAGGGGGTCTCACAAGGAAACAGTGTCCTCGCTGGCAGGCCTGGGACCCCTGCTATGTAGGGAAGGAGCCACCTTGGGGATTGATTTCCTCTTTTTTGTACCTGGACAACGGGGAAATCCAGCCTTCCATGGGAGACACCAACAGACTGTTGCTGAAGCCTTCCGAATACCGGGAGTTGTCCTGGAAGGCAAAGCTGAACGCCTGCTCCTCCCTGTTGATGAGCTGCACGGTTTCCCGGGCCTCTCTGCCTGCGGAGGAAACCCCAGCCGTCAGCGAGTGCTCTCCCCACTCCCTGGAGTGTCCCGGCGGCAGCAGCTGTTGCTCTACAGGCAAGAATATGCCCTTGTGGGAAAGATTCCCCACTTTTTTTGTCTCTCTTTTTTCCAACCTAGACTTTGATGGCCTCTCTTCTGTCCCTCTGGCCTACAAGGGACATCACCTCTTCCTCCTAGAACTTGACTCCATCAACTGCCTGCTCTTGCCGGGTCCGTCCTCAGCCCTGCCACAGCAATCCTGGCACCTGCTTCTCCCTGGCTTCTTTGGATCCTGGAATGGTACAGCCCTCTGGCTTTTGTTAATGCCCGAGGGCTTCACCTTTCCTGGTAGGACCCTTGACTCGGCCCAAACCCCTGAAAACATTCCCAGCATTGAGCTCCTTTGAGTTAGGCCTTGAGTAGACCTTGAGTTTCCTGCCAGATTCCTAATCCATCACCTCTCCCTGACTGTTTCGCTCTTGCTTGTTTTCCTTGGCTATTGTAGAGTAGTTGCTAGTATTTTCTCACCTAAACTTTAGAATCATGTCATCTACTTCCCAGAAAATCTTCTTGAGATTAGGGTTACCTGATTTAAAAAAAATGAAGATAATTTTTTTTGAAGCATAAACATATCCCCAATTTTGGAAGGGATAGACATATGCTAAAAATTGCTTGTATATCTACCTTACACGGGATGCAGTACCCTAGTTGGGATTCTCATTGAACCCTGGTGAAATTGACCTCTAGTTTTGGGAGAATTGACAACTGTTCAGATCTTATTTGGAGCATTTTAAGAGGACCGTCAAGTTTTCTTCATCGTCGGCAGTAGCCTTGGCTCCCTTTTCTGGTGCTTGCAAGGACAGTCCAAGAGGAACCAGTATCACTTATTTTCAGGACTGTAACTGTCATGGACATGCAAATATGATTTGGGAGGATGCTGATTCAGCAAGAACGCCTCTCGAGGGTTCTTCCTGTTTTTGGTAGCCACTTGGGGTAGGGCTTGTAAAGAGCACTACGGCACCTCAATGACTAGGCTGCCCGATTGCTTTCTAAGCAAGGTGGGCTGGGCTAACTGCTAGGTTTCATTTCACTGTGAGACGTACATGGTGCTCAATTGCTGGGCCTAATGAAAACCAGTGGACAGCTGGTCTGGGGTGCGGGGTGGGGAGAAGGAGAGAAAGTCGAGCAGGAAAATGTCACATTGCGTGTGCAATGTGAAACCTCTTCCCTGGCTCCCCACACCATCTTTAGCAAGATTTTTTTTTTTTTAATCACAAATGCTACTGGATTCTGATCCAGCTCAACAGAGTCAAGCCTCCTCATGGAGTTGTCAAAGCTGGAAATAATCTCTGCTTAGCTACAAATCGGTCACCTCCTGACCTTCATTTCCAACTGGCCACTTGACTCTTCCGCCTTGCTGTCCCACCATTCCTGTGGCCATGTTATGTTAACAGCCTTTCTCTGTGAACCAGGGATTGTTTACATCCACAGCACCACTTTTCCTTATGAATCTGAAAATCTTAGCCATTTTTCTGCTCCCCCTTCTTTGGTTTTATACTCACACTTGCCAAATTCGATAGATTTTACCCTGAAATGCTCCTAGCATCAGTCCCTTCCTCCATGTCTTCCCTCTCTCCCTCCTACTCAGGATCTCAGGACTCTCCTCCTAGAACGGTCTGCTGCTCTCTAATTTGCCTCCCATCTGGAGTAGAGCCTTCTAGGGCTCACCCCTATTTGGTTTTCCTCTCCTTGCTGGTCACTAAGCCCACAGGAGTAGTACACGCACTTCCCCCTCACGTGAGGTAGGTCTAGGGCAGGGGTCCTCAAACTACGGCCCGCGGGCCACATGTGGCCCATCAAGGACATTTATCCGGCCTGCCAGGTATTTTTGCCCCATTTTGTTTTTTACTTCAAAATAAGATATGCGCAGTGTGCATAGGAATTTGTTCATCGTTTTTTTTTAAACTATAGTCCGGCCCTCCAATGGGTCTGAGGGACAGTGAACTGGCCCCCTGTTTAAAAAGTTTGAGGACCCCTGGTCTAGGGGGTTGTTTTGTCTAATAGACTCGTGCCCATTCCAGGCTGCGGAGTGTCGTTGCCGGTGTGAGACTCTTCAGCGTGAGTCACTCCTCTGGGGGGGTGACTGACAAGGCTACGTGTGGCAGGTAGGCACGATAACTTTAAGTAGAAACCAACAGGGCAGCCTTACCGATGAGGAGACAACTTAAGTTGAGGTGCGACTTGTCCAGAGAGATCAGAGGGTCAGTGGTTTTGCCCACTAGCAGGAAAGGAACTTTGATTTTATGTTCGGGGATTAAGAAAGTCCAGAATGATTCTGTGACGTCAAGATGGAGAGGTGTGAACTGGAACACAACCTAAGGAGACAATTTGGAAAGCCTGGGAAGAGGCCCTTCGGTTGGCTTCGCCTGCTTGCCTGTAGACCTCTGTGGCTGACTGTTACTAGTCTTCTCTACCTTCTGAATACGATGTCTGCAAGGGAATGTAGGGTTGGCTGCACTAGCAATGGCAATGTCTGTTTGCACTGCCCACCTGTCCTTTCAAGGGAAGCTATCTTGCCCACATTCTCTGCTGCCTTGCATGCCATGTGTCTGGATGGCATGGTTGTACCAGAGCTAACTTTGTCCCGGGGAGTCGGTATACAACTCAAAGAAGGACAATCCATGTTCTTAGCCCCAACCTGGCCTACAGCCCAGAGGACCAACGGGGCCAACTCGGTTTCCAAGTCAGAAAGTTAGAATGAGTAGTGAGCCGAGGTCGAGTTAGGCCATGGCATGCCATAAGACGTTTGTTCAGTGCAAACTACCAAGGGACCATTCCCCTCGCAAAATACAGTAAAATAACAGAACAGAAAACAAAGCATAACATGAAGCCAGCAGAGAAAGAATAAAGTAGATCGGTGGTTCTCAACCTTCCTAATGCCACCACCCTTTAGTACAGTCCCTCATGTGGTGGTGACCCCCAACCATAAAATAATTTTCACTGCTACTTTATCACTGTAATTTCGCTACGTGATGAATCGTCATGTAAATATCTGATATGCAGGATGTATTTTCATTGTGACAAATGGAACATCATGAAAGCATTGTGATGAATTACAAAAACAATATGTAATTATATATTGTGAAATATTTATTTCTAATGACAAATCAATGAAATTTGTCTTGAAGCATGGTGTAGCATGGGTAGCAGTCTTCACGCCGGGTACTTGTGTGTGGGTGTATCTACATGTGGGAGGACTCGCCTGGAGAAGGATTGAGGAGCGGTGTCTTGGTTCCTAAGACCATGGGAAATGTGTGTTTTCCCATGGTCTTAGGCGACCCCTGTGAAAAGGTTGTTTGACCCCCAAAGGGGTCATGACCCGCAGGTTGAGAACCACTGGAATAGATGCTGCAAGAGATGTGGAAAAATGGAGAAAGAAATCGAACCCCACCCAAACTACCCCATGCCTTTTCTTTGAGCTAAATTTGCTTGAGTCTTTGCAACTAACCAGACCTGAGTGGAATCTCAATGGCATTTGGCCAGAAATGAATAAAACAGGTTTCAGTGTGTGGTCAATTCTGGTGTCAGGGGGATGATATAGGAGAAGGGATCTGGTGATCGTTGTCACCTCATCGATGCTACTGTCACCGAAGAGGACCAGCATGACCCTGGCTGAATTCTGAAACTTGCCTCACGCCAAATCAGGGAGTGTCTCTGATACATTTCTGGATGCGCGCGTGCGCATGCGTGCGTGTGTGTGCGCGTGCGCGTGCATGCGTGCGTGTGTATGGGGTGGGGTGGGGGTGGAGGGTGGGTCCAAGCAGGAGTGTGTCTGCAGTGTACCCAGCCCCAGCATCCTGTCATGCTTAAACGATGGTCTGGACACTGGGAATATAAAGTGATCTCAAGCCAAGTGGAGAACCACACATATATTTTATTTGGTTTGGAAACTGGTGAAGCATGGAATTAGCAACTGAGGGGTAAACATGGGGAGAGTCACGCAGCGATCTGTGTGATTTGGTTTCTCCTGGAACATTTCAGAGAGCTAGTGGCCCGGGCCCGAGTGTCCGCATGGCGGACATCTGCAGGGGAGTGCTGTGGCCAGCGGTGCCCAGCTTTCTTGTCCCTGACCCCTGACCTGCTTCATTCACTTGTGTGACCTTCCTGAAGCCATCGGGATGTAGTTACTGTCTCATGGACTATTTCTGTAGTCAAGGCTCTCTCTAGGACTGACTGGACCTGGGGACTGCAGATCCGTTTTGGCCCTCAAGTGCACATCTCTTTAAGCCCGCCACCCTTTGCCCAATATCACCGTGCCAACGTTTAGAACTCAGTCACGGGACGGCAATGCCACGTTTAGGCTTTGTTGGTCTGACCAAGAGAAGCCACATCTCTCTCTTCACTCTTGTCAGCTCCTGGGGCACAAAGTCACCCTTTATTTCAAGCTACTGTCTGAGTCCCAGAGTCCCTGAGCAGTGGCACCCGGTTCCCCTTTCCTGCTCTAATTGTGTCCATTTTGACACTGATGTACTCAAATTCTTCCTTTCGCCATGGCCAGCCAAGAGACCCCGGGTTGTCTTGTCCATCAGGATTGCCCGATGCACATGGCAGTCACTCAGTAAATGCTGGCTGCCTGGAGCACCCTGGGGCTCTTCTCTGCCTGTGGACTCTGGCTCATTTGATATTCAGATAGAACTAGATCAACTCAATGCCTGGGTTGAGCGGTCCTCCCTTGTACATACCTCTGCTTTCTTTTCAGGGTGGATGAAGCCCTTCTCTGTAAGGCATGTGAAAGCGGGAGGGCTCTGGAGGCTTTCGGTGTCTTCCGTGATCCAGCAGAAGGAGTAGCCCCTGTTGGTGGGGTTCAGGATGGTGAAGGTCCTGGTGACAACAGAGAGAGAGAGAGAGTCAGGAAAGCGTCTCTGAACCTGGCCCTTGTGCAATGAGCTGGCTGTCTGCGGTCAGAACTGTCCCAAGCGCTTTAGCTCTGTAGAATGAAAAGTCCACCTTCTCTGGGGAGTCCATTGCATGGCTGGAACTCTGGACTCTGGGGTAACAATGGCGCCAGGGGCACTTCCATGCCAGTGTTTCTTTGTGGCAAGGGTGGTGTGCAGGGACTGTATTTGATGCTTTCTAAATTTTCACCAGAGTGCAAACCAAGCAGACAAACAAACTGAAGTTTTTCTTTAGTTTAGGAATTCTCTGAAGCAGAATCTCTGACATTCAGGCCAACCCCCAAGATATCGAGCCTGCTTCTTGGAAACCGGCCTCGGAAGTTTTCCTCTGAGTTCGTTAGAAGGGTTAATGGATATGAACCCAACCGATAAGAAGCTGGGCAACTCACCGAAGGTTCTTGCCACCTAGGCCCACAGTGGCAAACTCAATCACCCGGGTGTTGGGATCCACGGTCCCACCATTAGGTCCTCGGAGCTCTGAGTTGCGCCGGTGACCACTGATGTAGTCCGACTCCTGCAGTTCAAAGTGGCAGAAGGGCAGGTGACTTCGCCCTTTCACCAGCAGGATGGGGCCTGTCTCTTCAGCTGGCAGGTTGGGAACCCTGCGAGGAGAAGGTTGTTTTAGTTCTGTCTTGCTTGTGGAGTGGAGTGGAAACGATTAGGACAGTCAACAGGATGTGCTCCCTGAGAGCAGAGGCTGGGTCTGTCTTAGCCAACACCGTGACCTCAGCCCCGTGGCGGGCATACAGAACACAGAAGATGTGGAGAAGGATGCAAGCATGGACTGATGGAGTACGGGGAATCTGAATTATGGTTCCTTCCGGGTCTTGAACCATGACTGCAAGGTCTGTCCTCCCTCCTCAAGGGGCGAGAAAAATCTTCCTACAGGGAAGTGAGCAGAGTCCATCCTCTGGGACCTCTCATCGGTCCCTGATGGGCTAGGAAAGCCGGCCCAGGAACCATTAAACAAACACAAAAGGCACACCGAGCTTCTCGGAGAAGGTGCGCCAGCTCTGAGCAGACTCCCAGGCCCAGGACCGAGGCTCCCTGTGGTGTGATTGAAGGGACTCTCAGAGGTTATGCTGGCTCCCATAGGCCTCTGCCACCCAAACCATGGTCCCCAGAGTTTCTCTGTAGGGTGGGGGTTCCCCTTGGAGCCCTCCTGGGAGAGGGGATTACATCAAGTCATCACATTGTTCGACATTATTGGATTAGCTTTTCTTCTGGATGTGCCTGGGCATCTTACCATCCTCGTTCACTTATGTACCTGGCCCCTCATTATGTAACGCTTCTTGTGTTTCCTGTGTGCCAGATGGGGTTCCCAACTCTTCATTTGAATGACCACATTTAAACCTTATTTAAACAACGCAACCAGGTGGGTGTTGTTAGTCCTATTTTATCTGTGAAATGTGAGTCTCAGAGAAGGTACATGAAAGCTTGTAGGATTGCCCAAGGAATGGCATCGACCTGGTATAAGGGGATGGATGGGTAGGGAGAAGAGTCTAGACGAGGTTGTTGAAGGGTGTCGAGACCAAAGTTTCCTTGTTCTCCCAACGCTGGGCTTTAACAATCTTTCTAAAGGGGGAAGTGACATTTGGGCTGTGTGTGTTTGAGGGGGGAGGGTGGGCAAGGGGGTGAAGAAGAGTGGGGTGGCAAGAACTTAACAGCTTTGTCCCTGCCAGGAAGAGAGGTTCTGGGGAACGTGTTTTCTCACTGGCAGAAAAGGCTGCCCTCGAAGTCTCCGACATCCAACGGGGAGAATTTCACTTTGAGCCTTTGCTTCTTCCCTACAAGCACGATGCCCGAGGAGGGCTCCACAGAGAAGGGAAACAGGACGTCCTCGTTGCAGTGGCCTGTGGCGCTATCCAGAGAGCTGTCCATGCTAAGCTGGTCTTTAGTAGAGGATCCTGGGGGAGGACAGAGAGTAGAAGATGTTCCCCATTTGCAGTGAGAGGGCAGGTGGGGGCAGTGGAGGCAGCCCATTCACAGGTCTCTGTGGGCTCACCTCTGATAGCAGGTTTACTTAACCTGGGGCATTATGGGTGAGGAATGGACTCATCTCTCTCAAGGGTTGACTCATGAAAAACTCTTCGGGCAATTCCATCATGGGTTTCGATTGGTGTCCTTTTCCCTGTGACTCAAAGGACAGATGAAGTGGACGATCGTGGATGGGGCTTTCTGCCTCAGAGTAATGGGCTGTGGCAGGCACTGTTTTTGGAGAACGGCTGCTCTACAACAGGGGCTCACAATCTGGGACCACAATCAAGAGCTCTGTGGATCGCACCTCTGTAACCACAAGCAAATTGCACGTTTGTCTAGCAAATGGTGGGCCCTCTGCTAAGTGCTTCATGTGCAGTCACTGCAATCTCGGACGTGAGCATATCTCCCTGGGGCGAGGGGAGCTGTGCTCAGTGAGAGAAGATGCTGGCCGAGTGGGGGGCCTGGGTCTGAGCTCTGGGAAGGCAGGGGCTGTCCTGGAGTTTCTTCGGCTCATTGGGCTTGGCAGACACCCAGAGAGCCAGTGTTCTGTGAGCTGCTTGCGTCTTCATGACCATGGCCCTTCTACTGGCTGGGGGTTTGCCTGTCATTGAGTTTACCTTGGTTTCCTGGCTTCGCAAAGCTGACAGCCTTCCCGGGGTCTTCTGGGTCCCAGTTGAACTCCAGCTGCACGTTTCCTGAGTTAATCAGATCAAACCTGCAAATACATCGGGGACGGACTTGAGGATGGGCTGCAGGGGGCTTTTCTCCTGTCTGCCCACCCTCCCTCTCTACTCTTAATGTTTTTTCCCTCTCCCTTTTAAGACCAATCTCCTGAATTCGGAAACATTTGGTAAAAGGCAAGCAATGGGTAATTTTATCTGAAAGCATCCATTTGATGTACTAGTTTTAAAAATCTTTCGAAACACACATGCGAGCATGTGTACGGGTATGTGGCTGTGTATAAAAGTATCACAGTGTTCAGCACTTGAGGTCATTTTGTGGACACCTGCCCTCTCTGGCTATGCAGTAAGCTTCCAGGGCGCAACCAGCCTCTTCTTCGAAAACACTTCCTTGAGAGAGGACACAGATAGAGTTTTCATGATAGCAGTGCTGTCAGGTGCAAATTCGGAAGTCTCTCCCTTCCTGAAATCACCTCCCACCAGGAGCAGTGACCTGGTGACCAGAAGGGCTTTAACCCTGGCTGAAAACCAGAAGTGGGTGTGCCTTGCTTTGAACTCAAATTTTGAATAACCCGAGCCCTTCCCTGCCTCCAGTTTCCCTCTCTAATACAAAAACAGAGAGAGTTCTTCTTCCCCTTCTTCTGGGTTACCATTAAACCTGATCATAGCTATAGTAAGATGAGGCCTTGATACGAGAACATGAAATAGATGCACATGCTCTTGAGGGGTTGGTCTAGAACACAGTGCAGACTTAGGGTTCTGTGATCCACCTAGGTAGACCATGTTGGTATGAGGGGGCTTGGAAAAATTCTACTATCTTTCAATTCTGTTTTTTTTCCATGAACTTTTTGAAGGAAGCTCCTCCTATCCCTGAAGCCACATGCCTTGACCACAAGGGCATGTGATGATTGCATAACATGAAAGCAACCACAGACGAGGCACAAATAAATGGGTGTGGTTGTGTCCCAGTGAGACTTCATTTATGAAAACAGAGGGCTGGCTGAATTTGGCCCATGGACCACGATTTGTCAACCTCTCCCTTGTTGTCTTATATCTCTGGTTCCATAATACTTTAGAAAGGATATTTAAAGTGTTTTCAACAAATGTAAAATCTGTTTTACAAAACAGATTTTGCAAAAGGGGAAAATTGGCGGTTTATGATTTTGTGTTTGTAATTCTAAAAAAAAAATTATAGACTTCCTCTCTTTATCTGTCTTTGTATATGATGCTCTCTCCCAGTCTCTCACTTCATCTGGCTACCTCTGGTTTGTCCCCTTAAATTCAGCCTGGGTACCAGCTTGTCTGGACAGTCTCCCCCCCACTCTGCCTCGTCTCGGTCTCTTTCAGGCCCTCCTTTGCTGTGTGCACTGCAGCCAGGATGCCATCCATTTCTACCTGCTGCACCTCCCCCCGCCCAACCGTGTCCCTGGACTGTGAGCTCTTGGAGGGCAGGCTCATGACATTTTGTATTCTTGCATCTAGGTGTTGGTGAAGGGGCAACACGGCCACTTCTCTTTCTCAAAGACAAAGCTGACCTTCGGATAACTTCCCAGCTCTATTCCTCTAGAAACCTGATGAGGCGATGCCAGCTGTGTCATTAGGCAGCATAGTTTGTTGCACAAACGAACAAACAAACAAACAAAAACAACCTGGGTGGGGAAACCACACCTGGATTGGGGGAGCTCTGAGTACCTGGAAGGAGGCCATGGCTTTGGGGTCTCTGAGTGTAGAATAGTGACTCTTGTTCCAGCCAGGACCCTTTGGGTTATGTCGAAGGGATGGTGATGGGAAATGTTGGCTTCTGTTGGGCGTAGTGCTTCTAAAGCAAGGGGGTCCTCATATCCACTAGGGTGGATACTCTCTGAGTACCTCCTGGGAGGGTGGTGATGAGAATCTTTCTTGGAAGGCTGTCTGGACTGCTTCAAGGACTATTCTCCCTAAAGAGGAAGCCTGATGTAGCCCTCGTAGGCTTTGTAGGCTTTGTTTTCGGTCCTATCTCTTGATGTTGGGTAGTCTACAATAGCCTTCTAGGTCTGAATGTTTCACTGGATCCCAAAAGACCCCTTGGTGAGTGTTACATTGATGGGATGCCCGGTAGATGCGAAAGGAGACGCCGAAGAGATGTTTGATGCACACATGAATGCGTGGTGGGCTGAAAGAGCTTCTCTAATGAATGCGTGAGGCTCTGATGACTCACTCAAACACTCGGCTCTGGTAGACCAGCGTATCCTTAAAGTGCACTTCACTCGTTTCGCACTGGTAGGAAGCAAAGCCCACATTGGCACTGATCTGCAGCTGGAGCTCTCGGTAGTGCTCTTCCAGGACGGTGTGGGCAGGCTCTGGGTCTGTTTCTATCACCTGCAACAAAAGGCAGCCATGCCCTCAGCGAGGCGGAGCTGGCTTCCTCACGGCAATAAGGAAGGGGTAACACAGGACTTATTCTATACATGCAAATGACATCAACCCAGAATGCCTTACTAGGCAAGCCTACACTATTGACAGAATGAAAAGAGAAAAGTTAAGTGATGCAAGTTATTGGGAATAAGACTGCATTGGCATGAGTGTTAGAATCAGACCGATTCCCCCCAAAAGGTAAAGAACGGAAATCATAAAGATAGGAACAGGTATGAAGGATATAGAAAACAAACCCAGCACAGAGAAGACCTGCAAAGCCCAAAGTGATTTATCTGGAAAAAAATAAAATTAAACACTTCTGGTGAGAATGAGCAGAATGGACAAAAAGTATAAATGATCAACATCAGGAGTAAGAATGGAAGTATAACCAAAGATCACATAAAGATGAAAAGAAAACATTACCAGTAATCTTATGAAAATGCACATGAACACTTAGTTGAAGGACAAATTCCCAGAAAAAAAAAATCACTTCATAAGGTTGACTCAAGAGGAATTACAAAGCCTGAAACATCCTGTAACTATGGAAGAAACCAAATAACAGCAAAGGAATTCCAAAGATTGTCTAAATTAATATAGAAATAAAATTTTCTGGTGGAGAGGGGAAGTCAATATTATCAAAATTTCACTTGTTTAGACTCAAGATTTTCTGGAGCCACGAGAGGTGGATGGACCCCCGAAACCAGTGCACTGGGACTGGCCACTTGTATACAGACAATCTGGAATCTCAGGAACTAGCGTTTATTTTTTATTTTTTTCAACCTTAAACCAAAATTATCCCCTCGGGTTTTCTTAAAACCAAGCAACAGTGTAATAAAAAAAGTCTTCCTCATTACGCTCTGTGAAAGAACCATGTAAATGGGCTCAAATCAAATTCACAATAGTGACTTGAAAGGTTAGGCGGTCGGTGAGGGCACACCCAGGAGGGAGGAACAACTCACAAAAGGAGAGTGAAGAATACCACGGGTGCACTGCACTACTTGCCTGGGTAGACACACGAACTGGAGTGTGCGCGGCTGAGCAGCAGCAATCAAAGAAATAGTTTGGAAAAAGAGACATACAGACAGCCGTAAGCATGGGAAGAGCTGGCCAGCATCGTTAGTCATTAGGGGAATGCACCTCAACACCAGTGAGATGCCACTTCACCTCCACTAGGGTGGCAGGATGTGGAGAAACTGGAGCCTTTCCGTCAAGGCTTGCCTGCGGCTATGATGCGGAGCAGGTTCAGGGAAGCTTGCAGACGGGAACAGACTAGGAAGAAAGGCCTGGAGATCTACTTCTGAAAGTCAACCAGTGAAGACCCACTGGATCTGCAGTAGATTCTGAGGACGGCACAGGACCAGGCAGGGTTTCATCTTGGGCACGAGGTTGCCATGAGCCGGCAGCCAACTCTAAGACCGCTAACAACACTAGATACATACTTATTCCTTGGCATAAGAGTGGGCAGTGTTGACTACCAAATGACAGTAACCCTCGATGGTTCAACAGAATGAAGGCTGCCTAGCCCTGTGCCATCCTCAAGTTCAGCTATGGATCCATAGTGCTTTCATTGGTTGATTTTAAAAAAAATCAATGATATTTTTATTTTATTTTTTAAAGATCATTTTATTGGGGGCTCTTACAGTTCTTATAACAATCCAACCAATGCAATTGTCAATGACCTCATCTCTATGCAAAAGCTGCACAATGAATAAGGACGACTGGAGAAGAAACGATGCACTTACACTATGGTGTTGGTGAAGAACAGTAAATATATTACAGACTTCTGGAAAATTAAGCAAACCTGTGTTGGAGGACATAGAGCCAGAATGCTCCTTAGAAGAGAGGATGGGGCGAGTTTGTTGCCTGTCCCTGGAAAAGGACATCCTGCTTGGTAAAGCAGAAGGGCAGCCAAGTAGAAGGCCCTTAACAAGTTGGATTGTAACAGTGGCTGCAACAATGGGCTCAAACGTAGGAAAGATTGTGAGAAGGGTACAGGATTGGTCAGTGTTTCGCTTTGTTGTACATGTGGCCACTGTGAGTTGGAACCCACTTGATAGCACCCAATACACACACACACACACACACACACACACACACACACACACACACAAATTAGCATAGAAGTGAATAAAGTTGCTTATTCAAAAAGAAGACCAAAAGAGTCAATTCTTTCTAAGACGACCTAAGGAAAAAAACCCAAATCCACTGCCATTATGTTGGTTCCTACTGACAGGGTTTCTGAGACTGTACATCTTTACAAGAGCAGACGGCCTCGTCTCTATCTCATGGAGTAGCTGATGGTTTTTGAAGCACCATACTTGCTGTTAGCAGTTCAACGTTTCTCTGACAGTGCAACCAAGACTCCTAATAGATACTGACCTATAGATATCAACAAATCCCCACCAAGTTTCCAAGTTTCATACAGAAAAATGAAGGGCCAATGATAACCTAAACACTTCTGAAGCAAACAGTATAGAGAAGGGACTTTCATTCCAAATAGCTAGGTTAGTGATGAAGCTATAGAAATTAGGAGATCGTAAAAGTAACATCCAAAAAAGCTCGCATTCACTGCTATAGAGTTGATTCAAACTCATAGTGGCCCTAGAGGACAGGGTAGAACTGGCCCTGTGTGTTTCCAAGACTGTAACTCTTTATGAGAGTCGAAAGCCTCCGCATATTTCTGCAGAGCAGCTAGTGGTTTCAAACTGCTGACTTTGCGGTTAGCAATCCAGTGTTTAACCACCAGACAAGCAGGGCTCCTGAAAATTGGCACAGAGATAGACAAATTGACAATAAAATAGAAAAAACACAACTTATGAAAATATAAAATATAGATATTACAATGAGTCATAGTGGGTTACTTGGAAATAGAAGGTAGAAACAAAAAAGGAATCTGGCAAAATTAGTTTTTTTGGATGGGAAAAAATTCGATTCCAGCCTCACACCATACATAAAATTGAGACAGGCCAGGTGCTTAATGATCAAAAACACAGTTCTCAAACTTTAAAAATTTTAAATTTCAGATGAAAGAAGCACACAAGCCTATGTGATCATGAGGTATTGACGGGAATAGGTATCAGAAGGTCAAAAACAAGCAACCAAATTGCATGATGGAAGATAGGCAAAGTGGAGACCTCAAAACCACCTGCAAGATAAGTGGACAGTCCATCACAGAAGGGCCACATGGAAGGGATGATATATCCAGGGTGCAAAATAGCATTGTTGTAACACATAACGATCCTCTAGTTCTTTAATATTTCCTCCCCCTACTATTATGGTCTTATTTTTACCTCATTAATCTTGTTAGACCTGCATATGTTCATTTGTATAATTAAGATAGTTTGATGCATGAAATCCAAGATAGATAAACCCTTTAGAAATAGTAATGGGAGTAATGATTCCCTGAGGACACAGAAAGAGGGTGGGGGTGGAAAAGGGGGAACCAACAGCAACGATGGCTGTATAACCCCACTCGAGGGGAATGAATAGGTGAATGGCTACAGTGGATGGTGTGAGATATGGGAAAAAAGGAATAACAATAATATTTTAATATAATAACAAGTGTTCCTGGAGGGTACAGTGGGGGAAGGCAGGGATAAATGGGAGCTGCTATCAGAGAGTGTAAGAAGAAAGAAAATGTTTTGAAAATGATTGTGGCAGCAGTGGTATAATCAAGCTTGATCTAATTTAACTATGGATCATTATAAATCGGTAAGAGCTCCCAGTAAAATAGAAAAAATTAAATTTGAGTGTCTTTCTGTTCTGATAAGCATTTTAAAAACAAGGCAGAAATGGTGGTACATACAAAAGAAAAGATTGATAAGTTTGACTTTGTTACATTATAGAACACTTTTGTTCATCAAAAGAAACATTTAAAAGCTACTGAAGTAAACATTAAAAAAACTATAGAATTTATATGAACAAAAGATAAAGTATTAATTGGGTGAAGATACAGACAAAATAATACAAACAGATTTTATAAAAAATAAATTAACTTGTAAAAGGATAACCATCATAATTGAAAAATGGGCAAAAGGTATGAAAAAGAATTCATAGCAGAGATGTTAGGTTGTCTATAACCATATGAAGTCATGTTCAATCTTATTAGTAATCAGAGAAATGCAAATTGGCCCTATAATGGGACAGCATTTCACCTCCGCACAAATGATGAAAATCAAGAAGTGTGACGGTTACTCAGTGCTGGGCAGAATGCAATTCAGTAAGATCTCTTTGTTAGTAGGATTTTAAATTGGTACAGCCACAATGGAAAACACTTGGGCATTATCATGAAAAGTTGAACATGCGAGTGTCCTTCTAGGAACATACACTCCTATATGAACACCATGTAACATGAACCAGAATGCTCATAACATCGCTGTCCATACTAGGAAAACAAAAGTAAATTTCAAAAGAAAAATGGTTAGATAGTAATGGGTTTTTACATACCAGTTAACATGAACTACAGCCACATTAACAATATGGAAGATCACATGCAACTATATATCTATTCAAGTTGAAAACAACCACAACTAAATAGCACACCTCAGAATGCATAGGTTAAGCTAATAAACAAAGGAATGAGCCAGAAAGATTCAGCAAGGCACCCACTGCGAGGAGGGAGGCAGGGGGATGGAATGGGTAAGAAACACCCAGGTTGTCGATGTTCTACTATTTGTGTGGGGTATGGGTTTGTGTGAGACAGGTTCTCTAGAGAAACAAAACCAGGACACGATTTACTATCTATATCTATAGATAGATAAATATAGATAGATACAACATAAGAAATAAACAGCTAATTAGTCCACAGAGCAGTACAAATGTCTCAGTGCAACTCACTTCTGTGAGACAGTTAATACACTGGCAGTCCTTCAACTCATGAGGGCTGCTGGGTGCAAGTCAAGGAAGCAGACAGCTGAGTCTTCTGTAGAGCAACACAGGCAATCTGGCCACAGACAGCAAACAGCAGGGCAAGTCACCAACAGTCAGCCAGATGACAGGGTCCAACAGTCCCCAGCTCAAGTGATATATATATCAGCAGTGTGGTGAAGCAGGTCTTGAAGGAACCTCAAACTATAGCGACACAGTCCACGGGTTGGGTGTAGCTTGCAAGTTGAGGCAGAGAACTAGCTAAGGTAGCCACACACTGGTTCGATCATCAGAGAGCAAGAGACAGAAAGGTCTCTGTGCACCATCAATTATCTCCCTGCCCATCAATTAAACTGCAGCCTTATTAATCCCACATGTGTCTATTGGCCAGGTTGGCACAATAAACCTACCTATCACAGGTTTGTCTTCATTTGTTATATTACTAAAAAGAAACTAACTAGGAATAAATAAAAGGATGGCATGCATGGACCAAAAACATGATCATGCCATGGACCAGACATTACAATTAGTCCAATTCGGAGCACCTGAGGAACAAGGAAACAACTAAAAGGCTAGCCACAACACTCTTTAGAAAGACCAGGTGGGGGATGTGTGGCACTTTGGGTCTGTGTGGTCTGAATGACAGGTACACTAGAACGAGTACCATTCCTTTTTTCCAGAAGAGAAGGAAATGATGAGAAACTGAACCTGAGAGCAGTAAGCAACTAGGACAGATTTTGGCTTGATGTCCCTACTCACTTTTTTTTTGATGTTGAAATTTCCAGATGTGCTCTTGGGCATGTCCATCCACTTGATCGTGTGCATGCGGTCATCCCAGTCGGGGACCTGGTCTTCAGGGAGCGAGAAGACAATTCTAGAGAGCCGGCACTTGATCCCCATCTTCTTCAGGGTTATGGGCAAGTCTGACTTCAGGGTCACCACTACGTCCTTGGCACACCCAGGGTGGAGGTGGCCCATCTGAGGAAAAGCTTTGGATTAGTATGTTTGGGAACCCAATATTCATACTGAGTGGTGGCAGTTTAGAGAGTGGGTAGAGACCAAAGGCCTTGGCAAAAATGTAGCATTCAAGAATTCATATGCAGATGGACTAAAATGTGTTTCAGAGGTCCTTAGATAGAAATACAATCTTGATAATAATAGCAACTAACATTTAGCAAATGGTTACTTATGTCGAGGACCCTTCTAAGCCTTTATACAAATTTTTAAGACTTCACAACAACCCTGTCCTATATGAACAGCTATTATCCCAATTTTGCAGACCAGGAAATTGGATACAGAGACTAAGTAGCATTGTTAAGGTTAGGCTGTTGATATTAGCAGAGCTAGGGGATACTCAGGCAATGTGGTTACAGATGCCACATTCCTAACTACTTTGCACTTCTTAATCAATATGATCAATACCAATAATGGGTGGATGAAACCAGTATGCCAGGATTCTCACAATGTGGTCGGGGGACCTCTGGGCTCTGCAAAACCTTTCCAGGGAGCCCAGAAGGTCAACGCTACTTTGTAACAACACTAAGCTGCTACTTGACTTTTCCACTCTCATTTTCTTGCAAGTCTGTGATGGAACTTTCCAGAAGTTACATGACAAAATACTACTGCATCAGAAGTAGAGGTGTGACTCCAACTGCCTTCCATTAAGTCAGTCATCAAGGGGATGTGCCAAGATGCACAATAATGCCATTCTTCTCACTAGATTTCTTTTGTTTTGATCTAGAAAATACAGCCATTTCCATGAACATATAGTATTTATATGAACAAATAATGGGATCATTATTGCATTTAAAATAAATACATATGTAACACATTTTCAGTTGTCAGTTCAAATATGATAAATACTGAGGTAGCATACATAAACACACATACATACATTTACACACACAGAGTCTTACTGCACTTCTGACAGGTAAAAAATGCAAGCGCTTTCCCTTCTGAAAAGAATGCCTAGCCTTTCCCAAAGCTACGAATGCCTCCCTATGTATCTGCTTGCAGGTGAGTGCGCAGGGACCTCTGTGTGTGTGTGTGTGTGTTCATGCATGCATGCGTGGATATGTAAATGGACCACCAGAAGCACCCCTCTGTCTTCTTTGACTAATCTTTTGCTGACAAAGGTAATGCTCAAGTTTGGATGACCTTGCCAGATTATCCTGGGTCTGTTTCCTCATCTGTAACATGCAGATAAAGAACAGTATTTACCTTATAGGTTTGTTGTAAGGATTAAATGCATGAATCCAGGCACGGGAGCCATTTCTCATCTAACCACTTAGGGCTTGATTAGAAATCTGCCAGGAGGATTAAAATGAACTTGTCATCCTGCAGGAAGCAGCACTTCTTCCTGACAGCACTGCAGGGGGACAGAGCAGGGTCCCGGGGCTCTCTGTACACAGCTCCGGGAGTTTTATGTCTGAGTAGACTTAGTGACTGTATGTGAGCCAGGCAGGAGGCAGCAGGTCCCAGCGTCCTGGGAAACCAGAAGTAAGCCATCTGCACAAAGCAATTGATGGCTTGGAGACTAGGATCTGCCGCATTGTTGTCTTAAGCCTTGTTCAGTATGGAGCTTCAGTGGGCCACTGAGAATAGGTGGGGCTGCAAGATGCTAAAAGGGGGGCTCTGGAGGTAAGTTGGTTTGGGAAATTCCAGGTAGAACAAAGCTGATGGGTTGTAATATGCTTAAGACCACTGTGAACCTCTAACAGAAAGATGTTAACTTGTAACCTTTCCAGAACTTCAGTTATCTGCTGAACCTACCATGACCCTTTGTAGCTTTTGGTCAACTACTTTTAGAGGACTAATGCTCTAAACAGCCCACAACTAGGGGACCACAGGCTGTGACAGGAAGGCAGCAACTTGTATTCATCCATTTGCCTTTACAGAATTCCCCAACATCAGCCTAGCAACAGCCTAGCAAATGTTATACTCTGCTCTTCCCCTCTTAGACCAAAAGGACACGAACAGAGTTCTCCAGCCTTTGGACTGAGTGAGGGATGGGCAAGCAGATTCTGTATCCATGGGAACAATTAATTCAAGTTGGCTCAGGCCTAAGGCGGTCCAGAATATAGTGAATGGCTTCTACTTACCTGTGGGGAGAAAGTGATTGTCGCTAACATTGGCCATTCAAACCGAATCAGAGTCGCTTGGCTGTGGTTGCTGATTGTGAAGCTCACGTTGTAGCTGTTGCCAATGTGGCAGTCCCCAAACTGGATGTGGTCCACCAGAGCAGCTAGGTGGCAGAAGAGAAGGCCGGTGAGTCTGCCCCAGAGGAAGCAGCACCTAGCAGGCACTCCTCAAGCAGCCCCTCCCTCCTTGGGTTGTTGGATTTGCAAATTTTGAACCACTGAGCAGTAAGATTATGCCTCTATCCTAGGTGACTGCCATCTATCTATCCTTCCATGCATTCCCTCCATCATCCGCTCACAGGTCTGCGTTGGCCCTTATCTCTATTTGGATAAGAGAAAACCTATACCTACAACTCCATTTGTTTAGTTAGACAACACGCTTTTATTTTTCCCCAGTCAACACTCTTAAGGGTTAGGGTTGCCAGATAAAAATACATGAGGCCTGATTACATTTGAATATCAGATAAACCACAAATAAATTTTGAGTCTATGTTGAGTCCCAAAATATTACATGGGACATACTTATCAAAAGATGCATTGCCTGCCCTTCCCCCCAGAAGAATTTATTTCAAAGGATGGCATTGAATCTGCAGCTTCAGGAGAGGGACA